GAGAAACTCCAAAATGCTCATTGTTAAAGACAGAACTTTGGTTTATTATTTTCATGGAAAACAGCACGCAGGAAATTATTTAAATTGTACGCGTGCAATACGTTCTGAACCTGAACAGAATATCACAATCCAAATTTTACAGTTTAATCTGCAACATTTTCAACTGGAAATGTTTGAAGGATCGTCTCCTCTTCTCTCAAGGCGACTTCTTTATGCTGACCAGACAAACGATTCACTTCCTTCAGAAGTTCCAACAAACAGTTCCAGTGTAACCATCCGGTTATGTAGCTGGGCCTGGTACTGGTACACACATGGTTTGCAAAGCATGGTCTTCAGTATCAAGATCTCCCACGACACATCTACAGGTAAGATTGTACATTGACACAAACACATACTAGTGACATGTTATTGTGCTACTTGCCATTCATACAGACACTTCAATTCTAACGGAATAAGTTTAAAATTTACAGTACGTAAAAATAAAGAAAAGTAAACGTGTTTATTTTACATGTTTCATTATTCAAACTATTGGGTTTGCCTTTTAGGGTCTAATAGCAACTTTGTCATCGAGGAAAACACTTTCTTTAACAATGGTCTGGGTGGAGTGAACATTACTACATTTGGACAGAGTGATTGGGATATAAACATCAACAAAAACATATTTCAAAAAAATGTACTATCGACTTCTCATCAAACTGAACATTCCAAAGCAGCTATTCGGCTTAATATCGCTGACACCAGTGCTACATTAGCAAACAATTACATGGAAGAAAACCAGGGTGGCATCCACGCCAGGACTCACAGCTTATTCCAAAACAATAAGTTGAACGTTTGGAGCAACCAGATTCTGTATACTACCCAGCAAGAGAGCATTAAGGTGGAAGAAGTAGAAGATGGTCCTCACACACAGCAGTGCAGTATAGATGGAAATGTGATACAGCACGGACAGGGAGATGGGTACAGTGATGTCCTCCACCTGGAGGGTGTGTCTGGAACCGTCACAAACAACTACATCTACAACAACACGGGTCTTCATGTGATGTGGTGGACAACTCCAGCCACTAGAAACACGAGTGACGTCACCAGTGACAACGTCATATACTACAACATTGCAAGAAATCCAAACAAGGTGGCAGCCATAGTTGCTGGTGGCTCATCATCGTTTCTCCATGACAATGTCTTCCAAAATCCTACATTTACATTCGAGATGACAAGTGAAGGGGCCTCTTCAACTGTGAATGCGTCTTCCAACTGGTGGGGTCTGACAGAGCCTGCGCAGATCAAGCAGAGACTACGAGATGGGAGCACGAGGTTCCCATATCCCGAGGTCTCCATACACCCAATCATTGATTCCATGTCTTCTTATCAAACAGGTGAGAGTTTTCAACACTGACACCCGTGTGGCTGTAACAAGTCATATTTGCATTTTTATGTCTCCTTGATCAAAACAGGTTCAATATATAGTGTCAGACGAATAGAAAAGGCATTAAAGTGACAAACACAAGTATGATGTTCGAAATTTGGCCGATGACAGCCGCTTTTATTGTGAATCCCTCTAATAAACGAAATGAAGCAATTTTAGAAGCTAAAATTGAATAATTGTGACAGTGCCAAATTACGTAACTTTTACGCCTGAAAAAAACTTATTTAATATATAATTCCCAAACAACATAATGCAGACGTTTTAATTTGTGGGGTTGCAAAGAGGCCGAGAAGAAAAATAAAAGATATACAAAAGCTAAGCTTCAAAAGACCTGATCATCCTTTCTTTGTATTAAAGCATTAAAACTGGTAACATCTTACGATTTTTCTTTATTTTGTTATATTTCAGGGCGCAGTGCTTTCCCTGCTGATTACCCCCGTCAGGTAACAAAGTGCCACGTAGGGCAGTTCATTCCCGACTCCAGAGTTTGTCGGCGATATTACAGCTGCACTAAAGGTGGCGTTATTCCCAAGATGTGCCCAAACCATCTTGTCTGGAATCCAGAAATACAGGAGTGTGACAGAGAGGGCTGCGAGCCCCAGGAAGCTTCTGGTAGGTGGTTTGGTACTCGGCTACAATGAATACAAAAACAAACTCTATGAACTTTGTTTTGAACATAATTTGATAAGCAACATTTGCTTTGCCCTATGGATATATCTAAACCAGATCTCTATCTGGTAAATCTAAAACAATCAGAACTGGTTTCATGGTAAATCATTCTGGTGAGCTGCTGATTATTCCGAATTTATCTGTTTTAGATTCGTGTCCTCTTGGGTGGCTGCAGAATAAGATGGTGTGTTACTTATACGTCGGGGGAGCACAAAACTTCACTCAAGCTCGAGCTTCTTGTGAGGTATTCAATTGACATTTATTCATCAAGTCGTTGGTCTACTAACAAGAATAAATATTGCATTCAGAGAGGGATATAGCAAATATTTGATGAAACTTGTGAGATAACATTATTGCTTGCTTACATATATTTCCACTATTTTGTTCAAGAGTCAATACAGTATGTTGGTCAATCTTGCTACGAAGTCTGAGCGAGCATTTGCAATCAGTATACTAAGGTCACGAGCGGTGGGAAAGCGCAGTTTTGGCATATGGTCAGAGACGTGGGATAAGGTATGGCATTGTNCTGTAGCAAATATTTGATGAATCTTGTGAGATAACGTTATTGATTGCTTACATATATTTCCACTACTTTGTTCAAGAGTCAATACAGTATGTTGGTCAATCTTGCTACGAAGTCTGAGCGAGCATTTGCAATCAGTATACTAAGGTCACGAGCGGTGGGAGAGCGCAGTTTTGGCATATGGTCAGAGACGTGGGATAAGGTATGGTATTTTGTGTTCTTCCATCGGGTTTTGAATAGAAAAGATCGACAATGACAAATAGAATACAGACAGTACAAAAGATTAAAAATATCAGTGTACAATATGTGGCATGTTACGCTGTTAGCATATATGTTATAAAACTAATACATACATGGGATAAACGGTAGTGAGGATTTGGATTTCATGTCACAGTTTTATTAGTTTATTTTTCGAATTACCTACTCGCATACATGTATCTTTGTAACTGTTTCCAGGAGGACGGAAAATGCCCACTGTTTAATTTGTCGAGTATTGACGGCAATGCACATATCTACAAAGATGATTGTTTCAGTCTTTCTCCGTATATTTGTAAACGGTCCGCAGGTAATAATTTCACTACACACACCATAAAAAATGGCATTCTAATAATATACATTACCTAATTTAGAAATGTAAATAAGGGACTATCCATGGTCAAGCTAACCGCTTGTGTTTGAAGGACGCTTCCGCATTTTGTTCCCTAATTTCCACTGTATTTTTCATTGTGTTCACAAAGTATCTCCTCATTCCCTATCCCCATCGTTATACAGCATTGTCATTCTATATGTACCATAGTTAACGAGTGTCCCAATGGCTGCACCTACAATGGACGGTGTGGTAAAGATAAACGATGTCACTGTAACCGTGGCTGGGAAGGAAAGGACTGCTCCGTGTACCACTGTAGAGACAGGAACAAGTGTGGACAGTACGGGACATGTGTGGGACCGAACCAATGCAGGTGTCAGCCTGGCTGGCAGGTAATCCTTCATTGGATACCAGGTAGTCTCGATGGTGTTACATATATTGAATTTCAGTAAAAGAAAAACCTGAATAAATGAATCAAGCGAAATTGCTGTGTACAATGTTAGATGTTCGGTCCTGATTTCAAGACCAAACCATGATGCAGACAAATGGGCTAAATAACTGTGCACTCATTTTAAAATGCCTTTATCAGATCACGTAATATCTTATCGGTGACAATATATTTTTCAATTGCATGACCCTTATTTGTTCATAGGGCCGCGCCTGCTCAGTAAGCTACTGCCCCGTGTACAGCACATGTAGATCTTGCACTGAACAGCCCGGATGTGGGTGGTGTGATCACAAACAAAGATGTCTGCCAGGCCACGAGTCTCAGCCGTGGAGAGAGCAGTGCGGGACATGGTTCTATCACAACTGTTTCTCTGTAGACACACACATGGGATGTTCTAATCAAATTGAGGTATGTGGTTTAAAGCAAGCTTTTATGATACGTTTGTTATTACAATATATACGCTATTACCAAAAGCAGAAGCTACACATGATTTTAATTGTCTAAAAATGAATTTGATGGGTATTAAAGTCCCAGTTAGGTGCCAAATGTAAAATTAAAAACAAATTAAACTAAACTGAGATCTGATACAGTAAAAGTTAGATTTTAAATGGATTGTATGATCACTGTACTCCAGCTGATTTTCTTACCATACTATGTTAATTCCGAGTGATTCACAAATATCATGTTCAAAAATATACACTTCGTGTGAAAAAAATCGATAACGGTTTAAATAATCATCATCTCGTTTGTAACTTAATGCTGTATATGTAATGTGTTCAGTATATCGGCTGTGACTACCGGCAGTGTAACTCTACCATACGGTATTCCAATGATGAGCTCTGTCACAGGTGTAGAGACGTGGAGGCCTGCTTCAGTGACGATGTGAGTGAGAGTATATGTAATGTAAATTAAAATGATAAGAACAATTAACCATTAACGGACCCGCTATCTGATTCACATTATATTGGGCGCCGTTATAATCATTCCATAAAGTATTTGTGTAAATGTGTTAATGCCATTTCTTGTAAGCAATGATGACTTTACTATGTAATGACATACATATGTTTTTTTTTCATATTTAATAACTGAACAAATACCATTCATCGATAAATGTAGAATATTAAAGCCTTTGTGTCTAATTATTCTGCAAAATACCTTAAGAAATATGTTTTCTTGCATATTACACCGGTTAGATCTCATATAGCTGCCGTCAATGGGATATGAGGAAATGCCCAAATGGCCTAGTGCGACCGGTCTATAACCATGGCAACCGAGCCCTAGATACGACCTTGCACGCACACGTGAAGGTCACTAAGCCTGGCAGTTCAGAGTTTTATGTGTGCCCTATATCAAACACGAAACAAAGAGGTGAGCATCCATGTATGATATCTGTCATGTTTATGAATTATTGAAATATGATGCAAAGTGGAAAACGAGATATTTCATTATATGCCTTTTATGTGTTCTATCAAAAGTTTGCAAGTCTGTAAGTACATTTTGTTGAACATTGCGTCGTGTTACTGCAATACTTGTGACAAATGTGACAAATATTTTATATCAGGGGAACGATAACTTTTATAAATAATTAACGAAGTGTTTTACTATTACAGTACCAAAGGTTAACCTATAGTTCACTATAAAGGTACAGTTATTCCAGTGAACACGGTAGTCCTATTACTATTACTGTACCAAAGGTTTACCTGTAGTTCACCATAATAAGATACAGTTTCCAGTGAACATGGTAGTCCTATTTAAGTAACGCTTCAGTATTTAAGATTTAAGATTTCTATTTGCATCTGTCTGAATAATTCTTGACAGGTCACTCCATTCTTGTGACCAGAGACAAGGTCAAGTATCCCAGGTCCAGAGATTTTGTCATTGTCAGCAAGCAAGCCGGAGGAATCATGCATAAAGTGTACGCAACTCAAGAAAAAGGTGATACTACATATAACACTATTTGTCAACCAATGAAACAATGTATGGGAATACATCTGGCTAGTTGCACGACGTCAAATACGTTTTGACGTAATTTTTATGTACAGACACAGATGTGTCTGTACATATAGCCATCATCTGCGTCTGTCGTCGCCGT